GGCGCCGGTGGGATCGTGCGCAGTCAAGAATAAGACTAGTGAAAATCGGCGAAATTTTAGTTCAAAAAATCTATTAGGCAGTAAAACATTCTCTGATTTCTTGGAAATTTGGGAAAAGTTGAGTAGCTCGGGTAAAAATGAAAATTTGCAGTAAATTTTTTTCGTCAATCAACATAACTTCAGCTTACTTTGGCTCGTTGATGCCAAATCGAAGTTAAACGAATGCTCCTCGTTGTCGGCGAAAGATTCCTCATTGCAATCCTGAACAGAATTTTGAGTGCCACAAAAAAAACAGCCGCTTTTTAATTGAATTCCACTTCAAGTGACCGAAATAGATGGGACATAAGCGAGCGGTCGCGTCGCGTTTCAGTGACTTCTAGACTTTTGCCCCGATGATGATGAGGTGTTCTAATGAAAAATTTCAGTACTAGACGTAACAGACTTTTTGAATCATCACGCAGTCTGCGCTGGTTGTGGAACTGTCCCGTCCCAGCCGATTCGAGGTTACAGCGGAGAGCAGGTTCTAGGGCTACTCCCATTCCCAGGGCCCGCCTCAGCAGCATATCAGGACTTAAAAGGGTAACCTAAAAGGTTAAAATTGCTAACACATACCGATTCATCCTTCACCCGGACGTTGATGATTTCTGGATTTGTACAGGCGAGTATTTCGAACAGATCACTTTCTTGTTTGGAGTCATCAAAACCACATGCAGACAGTAGGGATTTCGGTTTGGTGGACAGGATATCCCTAGAAAACAACAAAATAAACAAACAATATAAAATAAATTGACAAAACCAAATAACAATGGTTTCCTCCGAGGTCCCACAGCTCTTCATCTACACCATGCACTGCTCCAAAAAGGATCAACACGGAACTGGAAAGGTCGTTCTGACTCAAGGGATGAAAGCCTACCTGTTATGCACTTCAACCATGGCCTTACTTCAGGAATGCTTATGGGCTCCCAAACAGGGAAGGTATCTCCTGAATTCCACAGTTATCCCACACAAGCCTACTTCTGATGCAGACGTAGTGGTCGACTTTCCAACCTGGTTCCGTGCCAACCAAAAGCGTTGGTGAGGCTGAGTTAGAAATCGGACCCGGGACCCATTCACAGCAATGACGCCCTTCTCCTTATGTAAACTTCGATAGTCTGACTTTAGAGAAAGTGTTCCCCGCACCTGTAGACCATCTTGCATCCCCTGGGTTGGTGGGATTGGAGGATGAACAGCGAGAGCCGTACACTAGCTTGTCGACCAGCTAGCTCCCATCCACCCACAGCTCCCCCTGATCGACTCAGATTTCCATAAACCTTCAGACGGAACAGGACTCACCAATACCATGCTCCCCTCAATCTCTACGCGGCACTTCCAGCTTCAGGGAAGCGTCGGCTTAAGGGATAATTCGGGGGAGGATAATTCGAGGAATGTTTTACGATACTTCTCCGCTTAAAGATCAAAGACGACTCTCAAAGACGACCCTTTCCGTCGCTAATTCTACGACACACGCTTGACCTTATTCGACGTAATTACCTTTTCAAACTTCGGTAACTTTCTAATCGACCCATTCCCAACTTGTTTCATGAGACCTACTCTTTTTGGAATTGAATCGTTTAACTTCTGTTACCCAATTCTTCGTATTAGGACTGGGTAGCGACGTCTATAATTTTAAGAAAGACTTTAGGCCTTTCAGTATGGTGAGGTACCGAAGTAGAACACGGCTGTTAGGATACGAGAACTTTGAATATACCGGTGAAAAAGGAGGCACCCAGAAATTTTACCAAACAAAAGCCGGGTAAAACTCGAAATTCCAGATCCAGTGGTTACGCTGCTGCCCTAAATGATTTAGCGCAGTAGGCATATTTGCTTTTAATCCTGGAGCTTGTTCTACTTCAACTTGATATTACACCCTCTCGCAGTAACTGTTCAGCAGTGTCTGTGGCGCCAACGAATCCCGGTTTTTGGTATACGCCCCGCATTCGACTTCCACTCACAACCGTAGTGGCATTTGAATGCGTATGTGGCCTATACAGTGACTTGAGGTGGTCAGCTGATGTTCAATTCAGTGCTTTTATGCTCCCAGACGAAAATGGTACCAATCGATCAGCCTCGGAGAATAGGCTTGGTTGGTTCAGGCGAATATCGATTCGAGATTTGTACCCGTAACAGTGCGTGTGTGAAGCGCGCCATTTGCCACTACACCACCTCACATGTCACAAAATTGTAATAAGTAAAGCGGAGAAGCTACAATGCAGGGAAATCATAGAGTATCTGTCAAGTATTATCCGCCGAATACATGGGTACAGGTTCCAGCCCGTCCCCGAGCGTTCCCAGTATTTTGCCCACTCGTACTGAATGATACTTCAGACATGACGGAGGGGCGTTGGACATCAAAACTGTTACCATACGTTTCTGATAGACCATTGAAGTGGCCTTCTAACTCGAAGAAAGCTGAAGAACAAAAATGACTCCTGCTGATTACAATGATGAGGATGAGCTTGATTTTTTTCGGGGAAACTCCTCTGATGAAGTGAATCTCGTACAAATCATGAGCAGCGTTCCGTCAAGGACAAGCATTTTGGCTATCAATAGCGAATCTCGAACCTGACGATGTATGCGTGTGTGGAATGTGTGCGTATCAACTTTCTCTCCCACTTCCATCCACCACATAAATTCCATGGGCGGGTAAAATCGAACATTAACGGGATGGTATCGGACATGAGTTGATCAGATCGGAATTCACTGCGCAACGTTTTAGAAAACTCTCGCAATTACTCTAAAAGCAGGCCGACCTAGTGAGGATACAATGGCTATCGAGGTCATCTTTCAGAAACTTCTCAAAACTGAGTCAATCCAAAAGTTCGCAAAAGAGTAGGGGAAATGGAAGTAAAGACGGAAGGGATGAGCATGCCAAAATCACCCAGACGATTAGTTCTTGGACAAGCGGATAAGAAGTGATAATGAACGATAAAGTTTACTAAACTGGAACGAATTGCGGTCTTGGCATCGATGACACTCCCCCTGAACCCACTCATACCAAATTTTATAGCTCACTTGCCCTAGAAATTCTAGCCTTATATCAGGGACTCCACACAATAAAATTAGGGCGTGGTTTGTGACGTGGGCGGGACCGGAAAGATGAAGAACGCATGAAGTGAAGATGATGAGATAGTGACAATCCCTCATATGCAACCACTGCCTAGGATTCTGGCTGAGTATTAGCCGCAGCGGCACCACTGTCAACTCGTCCAAACGAGGCAGTTCAAAGCGGTGACACATTTCACCTACAGTAAACAAAAGTAAAGTGGTCCTGACAAGTTTATAAACAAAAGTTAAGTGGTCCTGACAAGATTACCTGGATGGCCTATGCTCGATCCCGTGAAAGAAACGGGTCAAACCGGGAAAATTATAGCCGGTATACCTGGTTATTGTGAGTGTGACCTATGGATATGAGGGCAGGGATTTCCCAAACTGGCAAAGAGCAAGTGATACCACGTACACCACTAAGTAACTCGAGTCAAATTGTGCAGGTGTTTCGTATGGATTTCCTGGTGTCACGCCATGATTTCCTCCGGTTCCTGGCTACTTCCCTGCAAGATCCCCTCACTAGCATTACCTGGACCATAGTCTCCGTAGGAGCTCCTCTAACCTTTTGAACCGAATCTCAAAAGGAGGTTAAGCACTTTTAGTCAATAAACCTGACAGGTTATCTATGTAGCGACCCAAAAAAGCACAAGAAGGCCAGAAAAGTTAGAAAAAGCCGATTTACGAGCTTTCGTGAGGGGAAACACGCTTCTGTACAAAACAACTTGGTTTATAGCTTTACAANCCTTTTGAACCGAATCTCAAAAGGAAGTTAAGCACTTTTAGTCAATAAACCTGACAGGTTATCTATGTAGCGACCCAAAAAAGCACAAGAAGGCCAGAAAAGTTGGAAAAAGCCGATCTACGAGCTTTCGTGAGGGGAAACACGCTTCTGTACAAAACAGCTTGGTTTATAGCTTTACAATCTTCTTTCATTACCCAAAACTGGTCAGCTTCGTACACAAAGCTTACTAATTTGCGAAGTTTTCAAGAAAAAGGATTCGAGACCTTTTTCTCATAAAACTTCTTTGCTCACCAGACGAGTTTCTGCCCCCCATGTAACGAGTTAGACCAAATCGGCACGGTTCCTTTTTCACATACACAGAGCTACGAACGCTTCTCATAAGCGAACGTCGTCGTCGCTCACTAAGTTATTATACTCTTGACGAAAGTAAGTGTAACCACTGAAGTATCCAGAAAACACCACATTACAGATATGTCTGCAACAGGCACCATTTCCCCACAATTTCTATTACCAAACAACTCTTATTCACATAGCGGTTTGTCCATACCCCAGGAGAATACCCTTCGTCAGAATCCCACGGAATATAGGTGCCCAGGTAATGAAGTGAAATCTCTACAGATATGGGGATACCATCTTAAGAGTTCATGATTGCTGGGCATTGAAAAGCAGAAACGAATGAGATCACCTTGGGAAATCGCCTGGACGGTAACGAACTCCCAGGTAGTTTTGAGTGGGGTAAATGAGGTCAATGAAAATGGGCTATGCGGTCATTAAAGGGACGAGAAGTATAGGTCCTTCCGCACCAGGGATAAATAAAAAGGGGCGGCGTATGGGAGAAAAGGGAGTTTCGTGTGGGGAGGAGTATGAGCCGAAAGGTAGGGGTGACGGTGAAGGAAAAGTTGAGACGGGGGCTCAATGAGCAGATTACTCTCAAAAATCTGTCTGACAAAAAGCTCTTTTCCCTGAAATTGAGGTTACTTGAACCTTAGGAAGGTAAACCTTGGGAAGGGTATCATGGTTCTGTACCAGTAGTTATCCCCTCTAAATATCTAAAGGGGGTGGGGGGGAGGAGACAATCCTGTTTTGACCAACATGATGTTCATAGGTAAATAGCTGAATACGGTAATTCTACTACGGTATTCTGCTTTTGAGCCTGTAGGGTCCGTATTGGCACCTAAATGGGATTGCGGTATCGGAGTATGGGCAAATTTCGATAGGTTGAAGCTCTCCAGCGATCTTCCCAGAACCGTTTGCCCAGCCCACCTTTCGAAAATCATCTAGGGATCTCCAGTGCGCAATGGGGATCAGAAGGACCGGTTCAACCGTGGCATTCACTCTCTTTGAGTTCATCTTCGAGTATGACCGTAGCCTTACCGTAATATATGGAAAGTGACATCTCAAACAGAAGCACAGCCATTTTGATTATCTATTGGATCTTTAATGAAAATTGATGAGCTGCACTTTCAAAGTCAAAAACCCCATGAACTCGTGGAATTCCAGAAATGAATTTGGCCATAGCCGTACCGTCTTTGAACGGCGCCCTCATAGAGAGTCAGAGTAGAAGTACAAAAGAATGTTACCATTTAAAAGCTTCCAGGATAAGCTTTTCAGCCTATGAACTACCAAACTCTTGACAAAGGCCTTGTGACTTCAGGTAATCCAGTAAATGAAGGTAACCCAGAAGGTGAAGGTGGCAAATCCAGTAAATGAAGGTAACCCAGTAGGTGAAGGTGGCAAAGTTGCGATAAGTTCGAGATAAATCCCTTCCCAGGTTTCCTAAAGTTGTTCCACTACCTGTCCCTAGGATGCCTATCAATCGGTACCGGAACCGCCTGAGAAGAGAAAATTCTGTTAATACTACACAATCAATGACTGGTATGACTACAGGTAGGTAAATTAATATGGTAAGATGAGTGATTATATGTTCTCTACAGACATTCCGACACCATTCCAGATTTCGGCTAGTTTTGGACGGCAACCTCTCCAATTCTTGCCCTCCATAGCCCAAATAGAAGCCCTTAACCCTGTAGATCCATTTGTGGATGGGTAATCTCCGGGTAAAGGAATGCCAGATACCGTATTCTACTAGTGTACAATAACCAGTAATTAACGACACACTGTGAAGCCATTTCAAGGAAAAGGAAAGACGGATGTCACACTATAGGTACTCCCGCTCTAATAAAAAGTCCCCCAACCAACTTTTACGTTACACTTCAGACAGATTCACGCGGAACAGTCCTTGACGTTAATGAGAACTGTGAGGCCCCTTTTTTGACAAGAACTTGATCATAGTACTCAGAGTCATCGTTCACACCGCGTTTCCCCAAATCCTTCTCCCAAAAGCTTTCCCCAGACGACAGTGAACTCACCGTAACGAACTTTTCTCCATGTTAAATCCGGGTTCCGAACTTGATGGTGTAGACGGTTCAGTAATGATGGGAAGTTGAGGTTGTTGGCGTAGTGCCAAAGCGGGATGTTTGCTAAGATCGTCAAGTAGCATCAGTCTAGCGAAACCTCGTTCCAACTGAAATTCTTCTTCACTACGTCGTAATTTAGAGGGTTGGCGGCCGACGATGGGTGTAAGAGGATGAGATCGGACTCACCATTAACTGGACCAGTTCAACGGCAGCATTGTTGTCGTCCACTTCGACCACCAAGAACTTGGCGGACATCTGAAAGATCTTCTAGTAAACTATAGCGGTACGAAGCAGAGTACACGTCAGAATCAAATGGAACCGGAAGAGTAGAAAGTGGAGTACACGTAGGAAGGTGATTAGAATGGGAACAAGACTGCCGTCATCGTCATGAATAACAGTCCTCTCTCAATGCTACTTCTACGACCCACTTGAATGGATCGTTAGAGGGCTGAAGGTCGATCAATAGGAATCAAGACAGGCCCCCAGAAAACGGGTCGCAGTTCTGCCATGAGTGTGACCTCCAAAAACGAAGGCTAAAAAGGGCCATGAAGCAAATCTGTCAGTCTATCGCAATTGACTGAAGGAAGTCGCACCACCGAAAACCTGACGAATTCATCAGGCCATCACACTTTCACGGCAAGGACAAACCTAATGCTTTAGATCGGAAAGAACGCGGTTTTTTCGCTTTCTACATGGAGAAGCTGTTGGTGTANCTCACGTTCCAGTTAATCTATTCGTAACTATGGGAAAGCATTTCCATTCCGTCGTTGCAGGGATGCACATTTTTGCCCATAANGCTTTCTACATGGAGAAGCTGTTGGTGTATAGAAGAATGGACAGTACGCCTGGATATGGGGGTGTAGGTCGATGGAGAAAGACGAGGTGTTGATGCGGCGGACTCCCTAACTGGGGCACCGAGGCGGGTATAAGTGGGACGATAGTCGGCCCGGGCCGCGGCCAGAACCTGCAAGGAACAAGACTTGCCGGCACTCGTTGCATCCCCCGTACTGCGCCCCGCTGCTGAAAACCCGTCTCACTGTAGCACCACCGCGACGATGACAACCGCGAAAAGCCACCCGATGAAACTAAGAGATGTGGGGTCCAGCTGGATGCTTTGACCAAGTTAATGCCATGCCTTTTAGAGCGTATTCTTCGTGATGATTTAGGTCGACACTTCAATCGCGGGGGTCCGCGAAAGCCCATTTCTGTCCTGACCGACATACGGAAAGGGTGCAGTGGGAGCGTAGGGTCTCCTTGAAAACAAAAGATGAGATCTTGAGGGCATTCGGAGAATGATTCGATCTCTTTTCAGTAGATTCTACGAAAAGTACATGTCAGGAATGTAGAATGTACCAGAAATCATTGAACTGGAAAGATGGGGTCTCCCCATGATGCGCCCCATCTCTCCCACATAAGCTCCATGTTGGCTAAATCCTATCAAAATCACAGAAAAGTAGAGGGAAGCTGAAGAGTTTCAGGACAAAAAGTTGTGAGCAATTGGGATGGGTCGGTTTACTGGTAAATCAGTTACGGTTTCAGTTTTCTTTGCAGTTTGTAGAATTTCCATTTTAAAATTATAGAACAAATCATTTACACAAAAATGTCCTTCAAAATTGATGACAAGCCACAGATGACCTCTACAGACACTGCCTACGAGCAGGTAACGGTTTTTCTCTTGCGATGCGGCCGTCCGTCTACAGTCGTCGACATCAGTCTGCTGGACAGTTTCGATATAGCAGTTCTCCTCTACGGAACAGGTCGCCCCACAAAGTGCCACTGAAAGCTGATCAGACTGCTTTGGAGTATGCTTTCGAGAGCGTCGTAACCAGACGAGTATTTAACTCTGTACTCGTACTTTTCTAGACGAGTACGGGGCAACTTGAAACATTGGAAGAAATGGGCTGTTCCTGATTCTTCTATAAATCTCGCTATTTATCAAGACAGATGGATTCATACTCTCAAAAAAGTAGGTAAGAAGTGAAGTACTTGGGTCAAAAGAAACGCAAAAAGGCGTGAGTCCAGCACAGGCAGGATAAGCGGGCTGCTGGCTTTCTGTTCGGTAGCCTGTGGAAAATTTCTCGATATAGGAAAGAGCAGGGGAGTCTCGACTTTTGAGCTTATGGAAAACTGTCGGTATCAACAACCAGGTACCCATTGTGGAGGTAAAGTACTGCTAAAAAGCGTACTGAATTGTGGGTCAATGCCCACCTAGGCAGGCAATCCAGCATGGGAGCTTGTCTACCTCCAACGGACGAATTCGCTTGATCTTTCCTATAATCCTACTTAAACCCTGATGAATTTAGCTTTCAACGTAATTATAGCAGCTCAGACGACATGGAGCCATAGTCCAGTCTAAGAAATGGATCCTATGAAGCCATCTGAATCCGTTGTCCGCCCAAAAACGGTTTCCCCTCTTGATTACGTATTCATCGTGATAGTTTCTTCCTCATAATAAAGATTTTTGTAAGCAAGGAATAAAAACATATCAATCCTAGCCATTTTTGATTATGGGACGGATATAGTGCAGTGACAAGTGTCGTACTATCACACGTGTGGTCCACGGTTCGAGTCCCTACAGGTCAACCTTTCCATCCGTCGTGGATTGGTACAAGACTCACCTGGAGGATAAAAATACTGACTTGTACAACGACTGGCCAGCGCAAGTCTTTGTAGGCAGGTCACATAGGCATTCAGTACACCACTACAATTCTAAATGGGAATCGGATAGGGGGAAGGGGGCGCTTCCCATACGGTACTGTTCAACGCCAAAGATTTTATCCTTCTTACCATTAGTTTTGGTTTCTACGTACGTACACAATGGGACCTAGACGTCAATGTAGTCAAGCCTACAATCCCTACAGCTTGGCTGAAGCTTCTTAGTTTTATTTGTCATTCAAGAGTCAAGAAAACCTAATCATACCAGTGGGTAAAGTGATAGCTGGGACAAACCCTTGGAACAAGCCCAAACCAGCGAATCGAGGAAAGAAGAGTTCCACGCCAGATTATCGTAAATCAACGATGAAATGGTTCGTGCAGTGGTCATCACCCGAGGCTCATCAATGATTAAGTGATTAGTAAATGAGGCTTGAATATTACAGTAGTTTTCAAGCAAAAATGGACTAACAGGGCACTGAACCAAACTATGCAAAGAGTATTCTACGATAAGTCATAAATTAATAAAAATTTTTAGTAAAAATGCGGAACTACGGGCCAATTATGATCAAAATAGGCCAACAAGAAATGGGTCATTCAAATCACAGTTCACGATAATTCAGAAGTACCTAGGGTAAATATAATATTGAAGGGTATGGTGCAGAATAGTGTAAAGAGGGCGAAGACGTTTAAAAATCAGCGGATTTTAAAAAAATATGAAGCTTCAAAAAACAATAAAAAAGGATGGACGAGATTACGACAACAAAAGAGGCAAAAAGGGATATTCGGACGAGATTTCGGTTGCCGCAATTGTGTAGGAAACTAGATGGAGGGCAAAAATGACAGAAAAATCCCTTCCACTGGGCGCACCGTACCATGAGTACTGACGGGATAGTTACCAACATTAAATTTTTTTCTGGTTTTTTGATAATGAAGGAAGAGGAGTATGTTGCAGGTTGCGCATAAATGCGACATCTTCTGTAATCGTCTGGACGTCTCCTGCATGAAGGTACTACCATGGTCGTCCTCAATGCGTCATTGTGAATCGTTCAGCCCCGATTCAACCATTTTTTGGTGCGTATGTCAGCCAAAGTTTTGCCGTTTTTCGGCCGGCTCGAAAATGTCCCATTTACTATCTTTGGGAACCCCGGGTTCATCAGGGTGGGAACTTCAGAAACCATTTTCATCGTGAATTGTACCTTTGGGTCCGACTGCCATGGCTGTGGGATAAGATGTAAGGCTGACTGACACTGAAAGATCGTAGTTGTGGGATGACCCATGGAACTGTATGGACCCTGGAGCCCTAGTTGTGAATAATCATGAAACCGAGCCACACTGCTTGGTACTACGAAGGAATACAGCCAAAGTGACGACTGAAAAATAAGCGATGGAGAGCGGAAGTAGAGTGCATGGCGCATCCCAACAAAAATGATCGACGTTAAACATTTTATTCCAACAATTCATATTAGTACCTCAGTAAATTTCCCGTTAACATAGTAATTTTCCCAACAGAACCCTCCAAAAGGGAGAATGTCCTTCGAAGGGAATCAACTAACAATCCGATTTCTACCGACAAATTCTAGCATTTTACACCTGTAATGTAAGTCTGATACCCCCGCTTGTATTTCCTGCAAAGATCTGATATGGGAGATGTGCCCACTGAAGATTGAAAGAGCTAAAGCTCACGTTCCAGTTAATCTATTCGTAACTATGGGAAAGAATTCCATTCCGTCGTTGCAGGGATGCACATTTTTGCCCATAACAGCTTACAGCCATGTCCTTGCAATTAGGAGCCCCTCATGTATGATTCCTATCCTATCTTAGCATGAAATCGCTGAAAGTGGATCGAAATCATGGCAATGGGGATTCTCCTACGCGGCCACTTGCCAAGCACCATATGGAGTTGGTTAGGGACTTACAAAGGAAGAGACTTGACATAAGGCTTGCGTAGTGCCCAATCACAACCAGAAAAATTTTTTGAGTCCTCGCTTATATAGGAGATCATTATCCTTTTAAAAGAACTGGTTCGCAGGGGACAATGGATCCCCTGATCCCGCAACATTCCCTAGCTTTTCCGTAATTTCACTCTTGAATTCATTTTCTAGAGAAAAAAATCAGTGAGAACAGTAACGGACCTAACTTTTGCTCATTCAGGGAACATTCTATTCAATCCCTCTTAAAAGCCGGCAATGTGGCAATAACAATATCACCCCAAATAGGGAGTGTGGGAATAAGCAAAACTATGTGGGAAAGATTTATAGAACATGGGAAATGTGGTGATCACCTACAAAGAAATAAAAAGAAAATGAGCGTTTTGAAGCTCAGTAAGTTTTACTGCTTTGAAATGCCACTGCACACACCTAAGTCCCGCTCGTTCAATGAAAGTTCAGGAGAGGTAGATAACATGGCTGAGGTGTAACGTGGAGCGCATGGGCAGCTACTGACTAACTCTTCCCAGATGCTTTAGGCATTCTGTTTGGTCTCCATAACCAGTTGCGTGACCAAAGTAACTTCCTGGCCCTTTTTTGTATTTTTTTGAAAATTTTTGCGACCGAATTCCTAGCCAGCATAAATTGATCCGAAATTTATCCAACATGGACCTA